ATCGAGATACTAATTCACATTCTATCTTGAATCTTCTGTTCTCCTTGCTTTATTCAATAGAACCCTTCTCCACTCCAGGTCTTGATGTCGACCAAATTTCCAATCTAGGACCTAAAGGTTTTTATATCCTCTTTTCACTGTTGGTTTACCATCGTATTTCTTACTCTACACCTTTCTCTTTTTTAGATCTCTCTCATCCCATTTTTGCCGACTCATCCTACACCAAAAGAATTACTCTATTATTTTTTCTTAATCACTCTCAAATGCTTAGCTTGGCCAGTGGAGGTTCTTCTAATGAAGCCATTTTGGGATTTCGATCTATAGTTCAATTATCTTGGGCCCTTACCATCCGCAAAGTTGCTCAATTGCAAGCTGAGCTTATTAGGCAGAGACAGGCTGATCCTGTTTCTTCATCCTTGCAGTCACCAAATGATATCGATATAAGCGATGAACAATTGGCTAATATTGCAATAGACAACGGTGCCTTGGAGTTTTTGAGATTAATTATTGACCTTCCGGAATGTGAAGTGAGACTCATTCTTATCTGCCTCTACGAATTTTGACTTGTTTTGAAAAATAACTTTTTATCTTTAAAGCCACTTTGGACACGACGGCTCCACGGTCTGATAACTGATTTAATTGTATTATTACCTATGCGCGTCCGAGAAATACGACTTAGAGATGAGGAGCTTGCTCGTAGAACCGGTATGGATCCTTCTGCCGACGGACGTGGCTTTGCCAATCTCCTCCTCCTTATCGGAGATATTTACTCTTCTGATCAGAGTTCAACTGGTTTTGGAAATCCCCATACGGCTCGTTTAACTCTCTCCTATTGGTGGTCCGCCGGTAGTCTTTTGGATTCCCAAACTGATGCTGCTGTCCATGCATCAGTCGAGGCAATCCCCAATCAGTCACGACTTGTTGAAGTTGATAGGTTGCGCCAGGTAAAGTAATTTTATTTTCTTATTTATTATTCCCAAATTCCGACTAAGCTATATATATGATTTATGAATTCATATTGTATAAATATGTGGATTAATCAGGATTTATGTTCACCTTATCTCAATTGAAACCATACCTAAACCGTTTCTCGATTGCGAGTGATCATAATTCAACCTCTTTTCTTATTCATTTTTTCACTTTACTTAAAATAGCTTCAAATGTTTATCTGCATTGAAATAATCCGTATGACCGTCTAATCCTGCTTGCTAACCATGCTACATGCTTTATCATCATTTTCTCTAAAAACCTTTTGCTCCTACCATTAATCCTTGCTCTTGACTACCCGTTATTTCAAAACATCGACTTCCTACAGCCTAGATATTTAAATAGCCCACATACTCTAGTTTGATCTTCGTTTATATTTTCTCTTTTCATTTCAGTCTGCCCTTTTCCGCTTCGTAAGATCAGCGAGTGACTTCGTTTCTTCCTCTTGCCTATACGTACCTTACCTGCACATGCTTCGTGGGCTCGTGTGCACGCAAAGAGCCGCTGATTTATGCTTTAAACTTCTCTCTGTGAATGCTAGCGGAGCAGGTAAATTATTTGAATGCTTGAAACAATATACCAGAAGAAAAAGGTGTTTATTTGCAAAATAAGCAAGAATTTATCTGCCATTACATTAAATTTGGTTTCTCAAAAGGTATTTTTTGCTCCAATCATCTAATTCATCTTATTTATATGTTCTGATTATTGAGAATACCGTATCAGCAAGGGTTTTCTGGCTTCTAGGCAGTAGATGATTTAGAAACTATAGTTTTACCAGTAAAGTTCTCTTTGTTTTCATTAAGCAAGTTTTTCTAAGCTCAAGACTATGCTGATTGCACCATGCGGCATGGTATTATCTTGATTCGGGTAAATATTCTTTTTAAGCAATGCCAGTCGTTTTAATCTAAAATCCATTATTGTTAACATGGATCTTAGTTTAACGGCTTGAGTAACTCAAACTTTTTTCAGCGAATAGATGCCTATCACGCCCCTAAAACCACGAATCCCTTCCTTTCTTCCTCTTGATTAAGACCCACGATTTAACACATCACTCTTTTTTTCATCACATTCCCTTGCCTATGGTGTTCTACGAAGAGTAATTGAGTTTCTATGAATCTCCTGAGATAACATTACTGGGGGGACTTTCATTTCGTATGAGCATGCATGAAGAAGAGATTCGAGAGCTCAGTCCAATATAACCCGAAACGATTGAGGATATTTCGTGGACCGCATCAACCTGAATGTCGTATTAAATCAAAACGGCCTCAGTACAACGAAAACAAGCCATCGTCTTCTAGTGAGATCGATCTGAGAATCTCTTCTTCGTGCATTCTCATACGAAATGAAAGTCTCCTAACACTATTAGGTCTTAGTCAATCTAACTCTTTTATCTGAAACTTATAGTGCAGAACTCTACCACTATTTCCTCACTTTCTCCGTTGTAATCCTCATTTTGTTCTTTGCGTTATCCATCCCTCTACCATTTCGGTCCGAACTTACTGTGCTTTCATGTTACTCACTTTAATGTCTATACTTTAGTTGGAGAATCTATTACTAACATGTCGACTTCATGAGCCGCTCCTATTATTTGTTCCGTGTACTGTGAGCTAACAATACTATGCCCCTAGTCTGCACTTGCTTTATAATGATACATGATTAAGACGACCAAGACTAATCGTCTAATATGCTGGTTTAAATTATTATTAACTACTATCTCTCGAACCTCATTAGTTGCCTTTCTCTTGTTCACCGCCTTCTAACTTGGTTTTTTTAATTTTGTTAAGGCATTTAACAATAGGTCACTTTGGATGACTATCTGGATCTTGGTTTACGGTAGCATTTTGCTTTGTATGTTTGAGGTATGCTATTTCCTAACTCGGACATGATGATGTGACTGG